TTTCCATTTTCACTTGCTGATAACCTAATTGAGCTTCTAAAACTGCTTTGTTGATGACCGAAGTTTTTTTTGGTTCAAAAACTTGAATAACTAATTGCCGTTCGGGATTGGTTTTCAAAGTGGCTAATTGCTTAATTTTTTCTTTTTTTCCTTGCTGTTCGACAAACAATTCTTCAATGGCTTCCAAAGAAATTTGATTACTACGAATCTTTTTTAAATTAATTTCTAGTCTATTCATATCCTCTTGCATTAATTTTTCGGCTTTCTCGGCTCATTCCGTCATATAAGTAGTTTTTACAAATCAAACGTTCCTTTTTTGCATTTTTATTTTTCACGAAACGAAAATTAATAACTATATTGTCCAAATTTCTTGATTTTTGGCTTAGTGTTTCAAGGATTACGATAATATAAACTAGCAAAGTCTTTTCCCAGGCGGGGTAATTTATTCACTTTTCCTAAAAGTAAAGGCTGCCAGGGGATCATTACTGCTACGCTAGAAATTTGCCGTTGATGAACAACTAAAAAGAGAATACTACCTCTCTCAATTTTTTGTTTTTCTTTTACCCGGCGAATAACTGCTTCGTAAATAGAAGTAAGTTTAGTTGTTTGGAACTTAATGGTCAAAATAACTTGTAAGCCGCTATTCCCAACAATATGCAACGTAGTATTATCGTCATAAATTTTGGTAATATAACCCGCTAAGGGGCTGCGAATTTTATAGCCTTGGAGATGAAAAAAATAAAATGAATGTCCAATTAAAGATTGTTTAGTCATTTTGACGGTGCGACATTGAATTGGTTGCATTAAGCGAAAAGGTGAACCAATAAACCAAAGAAACCATAATTTAGTTTCTCGTCAAAATCTAGTTCGGTTTTGTTTTCATAAACGAATTAAATATTTAATTCTAGGGAACATTTATGTAATTTTTAGCCTGTGATTTATTAAAAACTAAATTGCTTAATGAGAAATTTCACCAATCTTCTTTTTTATTTTTTTTAGCCTTCGGTAGATAAGGAAAATAGAAATTGCCGCAAATATTAAAGGAAT